TTTAATAAATTATATATTTATAAATATTGTTAAATTTGTTAAAAAAATTTTTTAAATTTTATTACAAAATTTTTTATTATTATGCCTAGACAAAAGACTAATCAAAGACCTTGTTCTATCTATAATTGCAACAAAGAATCTACAAAATTTAAAAGTTTAACTGATAATGCTTTTGCAAAAGCACTAGCTACAGGAACTCTTCAACAATATTTATATTTACAAATAAATCAACAAATTTGCAATGCTCATTATATGGAAATTGTTGAAAATGCTTGGAATAATTATAGAAAAAATTATCAAGATAATATTAGTTCAAATAATATTATTGAAAATAATAATTCTATTAGTAAATATCTAAATTTTATTTAGTTATATAAATTTATAAAAATTACTTAATTTATATTAGGTGTATATATACACATACTAATTTATTGATTTACGAATTTATTTAATATATAAATTGTAAATGAAAAATTAGTATAGTTTAAGGTTAGGGTGAGGATAACTTTAGGGTTAGAGGAGATTATAATTTATACTAAAATTTTGCAAGAAATTTTTTTTGTTAGAACCCCGAAATGGGTTTTATAATTAAAATTTCAAGATATCAAAAATATATATGTGTATATATACATGGTATACAAATAACAATTGTCTAAATTTATTTATAATTTATAATTTAATTATTTTTAGATCCATTACCACAATTGTCACTTGCTGATAAAATCAAAAAAATAACAACTATAATATATAATAACGAAAAGAAATAGCTACTCTTGTGCTTGAACCTAATAATTTTAAAAAAATGCTTGAAGAATCTGATTCTGATCTAATTGGATTTTTTGATGAAATATGTAAAATTATAATACCTTTAAATTAGTCATCAAATTTACAAGAAGATGCTAAAAAAAAGGTTGTAGTAATTCTTTATTTAATTGCTGGTCTTCGTAATATGCATGCTAATCAATTTAAATTGGAGCTTGGATTATATCTTGCAGCATGTGGAGCATCTTGTGAAACAATTAATACTTTAAGTAATGTTGGAATTTCTGTTACTAATAAAACAGTTTATAATAATAAAAAAAAGATTGCTATACAACATCCATTAAAAGTTGAAGAATATTTTATTAAAAATGTAAGTAAATTTTTTATTATTAAACTATAATTATATAAATAAAATTTATATATTAATATTTTAATATTTTAAATTTATTTATTAGAAAAATTCACTTTGTGTATATAATATAGATGATTATCATAATATTCATGAAAAAAGAAGACCAGATGATACTAATTTATCAGGAGCAGCTCATTTAGCAACAAGTATATGCAAAAAGGTTGAACAATGTGGACCAGTACCAGTAATTTTTAATAGTATATCAGTTCATAATTCAGTAAATATTGATGCATCAATTATTTGTGAACAACTTATTAATAAGTATCAAGGGCTTTTCGATCTTTCTTATACACAACGTAAAATGCAATGGGCAAGCACAAAGCAATCTGAAAATTTTAAATTTGATCGTATTGATCAACTTACTATACATTGTTATGATGATGCTATTGCAGAAAGAAAAGAAGAAAGAAAAATGAAAGAAACAATATTAATTGGAATTAAAGAACAGCATCTTCATTCTATGCAAAATTATTTAGAAATTTTAAATATAATACTTAAATATAATGAAAAAACAAATCATTTAAATGATTATATTGCTCCAGTAATTGCAGATTGGCCAGGACAATTATTTATTAGAAGAGCTATTACTCATTTACACAAAAATAATTTAAATTCACAAATTCCATCTGGAGTAATTTCATTTGTTCCTATTCTTGGACCATTATATGTTAGTCTTAATAGCAGAGAACAAGTTATAAAAGTTTATTATAGCTTTTTTAAAAAATTATTTCATAGCGTATTTGGAGCACGTAAAAAATTTGCTAAAAAACCAAGACCATGGAGAATAAATTTACTTTTAGAATTAGCATATAGTGCATGGATTAAAATTAGAATTTTAATAATAGAGAAATTTGGAGCTCTATGCAAATTTACAGAATATCAAGCAATAATTGATCTTTTAGATAATATTATTCCAGCAGTACTTGATATTTATGCTGTATTATTTCGATCAGGATTATTTGATGAATATCTTGAAACAATTTTTCATATTTGGACTTTTGCTCTAAGATAGAAGTGTAAAAATTATAACAAAGCTCCATTAGCATTTTTATCTGATATATTTTATTGGGAACAAAATAATCATCCTATAAAAGAAGCAATTAAGCTTTTTTTAGTTAATTTTAATGATTATTGGATTGAAAATATTCATAGTAGAATTAGAGCATCAACAACATGTAAAGATAATGCAAATGATATTCAAAAACAAGCATATTTATTAGGTATTTTAAAATTTAATATTATAATAATTATTAATTATAAAATATAAATACTAAATAATTATATTTTTATTAGATGCTAATAAACATTCTGCATTTAGAGAAGCATTTATAAATACTAAACATTATCCATATTCACCATCTGAATTAGAATTTTTAACTAACAAAACATGTTTATTTTTGCTTCAACAATTTCAAATAGTTTTTGAAGAATATCAAAAAACATTAAGAACTAATACTATATTATCTGCAACAAAACCAAAACCAAAATCAAAAAAAGATAAAAAAGAAGATTTAAATATTAAATTTGTTACTATGGAAGATATTGATGAAAGAGTATTACTAGCAGGATATCATACTACATATCCACCTGTTTTTAATAGCTGTGATCAATGTTACAAAATATTTGAACAAGATTTTGATGGAACTGTTTTAATATGTGGTCATGGATATCATTGGAATTGTTATAATCAAATAGAATTTAAATGCAAACATTGTATAAAATATTTTAATGAAGGAATATGGAGTAATGTAAATGCATTTGTAAAACGTTTAGAAGCAGAAGACAAAGACAAACTTACTAAAGAAGATTTAGAAGATGATAATAAAAATGATGATGAAAATGAAGAAGATAATATAGATAATTTAACAGAAGAAAGTATTGAAATTAATGAAAAAGAAAAAATTGAATTAGATTTACAAAATGCAATTAATAAGATAAAAGCTTGGTAGTTTATTTTTTTATATACAATATTATTATAAATATACAATATATTCTATTCTTTAACTATATATTTATTTTTAATAAATAAATTATCTGTTATATTACAAAATTTATATCTTAATAATATATATAATTGTATTATTTCATTTTTTAATTTCTATATAATTCTAATTTATTTATCTAATTTTAATAA